CAAGTCCAATTAATCAGTTTATTTTTCCTTGTCATGTTGGAAGAGAACGCCATTTTTTCAAAAGATCCATAAGTCTCATCTTACTGTGCAAAATACTTACGTTTTTTGACAAGGTCTCCCATTCTCTTTTTCGCAAGGTAAGAGGTCTAGCTATATTATTAATAATAAAAAAATCAATTTTTGAATTTTTACTAGACATTACCCTATTCTAATCTCGGCCTCACCAAGGAATACTTAGCATTTTAAGTTCATTAAACAGGTGAATCCATGTCTACAATGCAATCATCGAAAATATCAAATTCTTAAAAAGTAACTGATCTTACCCCATTTGGGGCATAGTAACAGTGCCAAATTTGGCTCCTACAAAACTCCCTAAACTTAGCAAATTAATCCCTGCACCCTAGACACAAAGATACTGTCAGAATTATTCACAAGTAGGAACACATGCCATTTGGCAATAGATCTCAATTTATGGGTAAAAGAACAGAAAGGCCAGACTCAAATGGCTTCTCCTAACGGACTTATTCAGGTTGGATGGAAAATCATGAATTAAATGGGTAACTAATGCCTTCATCATCTCAGTAACCAAATTAAATGTGTAAGCAATTTTAGATTAAAAACTTGAAAGACATTATAAAAGCATAGTCTCGACTCTAGCCAACTCACAAAGAATACAATCAACACTTGCACATGCTAACACTAGTAATCTCACGTAACAACTACTGCCTGAAAGTCCAATTGAACTAGGGAGTAAAGAGGAATGGGTCACACATGTTCAATTAACTCAAGTAAAAAAAAACAAGCTAGGAAAGTAGAAACTCCCTAGGTCTTTGTCTCGGGCACTAGACACATCGGGTCAGCTATTTCAATGGCACATTATCTCTTCGGAGAAACCAGGAGCCGCAAAGCACAACACAAAACAAAAACGCACGAAAGCCTTGTGTTTTTTATCAATTTTGGGGGGTTTATTTGAAAGCAATAAAAAGACTATAACTAAAGTGCAAAAGGAAACCTAGGTTGCCTCCCAAGAAGCGCTGTTTTTAATGCCGTGTGCCCGACGATACCTCATAGGCTCTCAAATAGAAAAGACTATAATGGTACACTAATTTTCAAAGATTCCAACTTTCGCTCCACAAATGCCATTAAGTGGCGCAGACCTCTAAATTCTCGAGTCCACGTAGGCACCACGTGGTCTTCATAAACCTCATGAGCACAAAAGTGAAGAATGATCCTCATATCCTCTTTTAGTGGACAGAGAACATGAGTCAAAACTTTGATAACTTTAGGCATCACCGGAAGCTTAAAAGATGTTTCAAAGCAAAAATTTGGAGCAACACAATGCTCAAACCGAACCATAGAAAAGTCTTTTTCTTTATCACAAATTCATGGAAATTCACATCTCCTCTGGACTCTGTATCACTCCCCATGTGAGCATCTCAACTCTCGTGAACACCGTTCTTATCAATGTCTTCTCGTATGATGTGGTCATCATTAATAAAAGGAGTATCATCCTTCAGCGGTGAATCAAACAAATCATGATCTGAGACAATGCACGAGTGAACATCTAAAAATGTACATGATGTTTCTTCTTTCAGAGGGAGAGATGCTTCTTTATTATGATCAGTTGCCTCAAGGTGCTTCCTATCTGTATGTGTGACAGCCTTGACACGTTCACTTGGATTGGTTTCAGTTTCGCTACGATGGGATCTCTCAGGCTCCTCAGATTGGGCTTCTGTCAGCTGACTCACCGGGTTATTTAGATTATGCATTCTGGCTGAAGTGGTCAGCATGAATTGTATGAGCATCTCTTATAAGTCATATAGTCTCTTTGAAGTTGTTACCTCCAATTAGTTATGTGGCTCATTAATCGGCAATGATGTAGGAATCACTGAAACATTTGTGTTCCTAATTTGTGGAGGGGGTGAAGTGGAGTATGCAATTGCTCGGTAAGGATGGTCATATGAAGGTTTAACACTTTAGCGCGGCAAAAAGATATATGGTGACGTCATCAACAGGAGCAAATGCTATTCTTAAAAAAGTAATCAGACTATTCATCAGGAGTTTTAGATTGGAGAAGATGATCAAGAATAGAGCCCGGTCTTACTCTTACCCAAGGATATTGTGATGAAGGATAATAATGAGAAGAATCAAATTGGAAGAGTTGCATGGTTGGAGGGTATGAATAAGAAGGCTGAATATTTTGTGGTGTAGGAGAGTAATATTGATGAGCAGTGTAATATTGATGAGGAATGTAATATGGTGAATATTCCGTGGAGGTTTGAGGGTAAGATAATCCTCCAGGAATTGAGCTGAATTGATCCATCTCATGCCTCTTTAAAAACAGTATTTTTTTGTCACCTGAAAGGTTAGTAAAGAAAAATCCTACAAAAAAAACTAAAGGGAAGAAAACTAACTAAAAACTAGAACATATCGCTGAAAATAAATAACTCTTAAAACCGACACCGTTCCCGGCAACGGCGCCAAAAACTGATGTGAGTTTCATGACACTAAAAATATGTAGCAGTATAGGGTATACGTACGAGTATTGTCTCTACAGGGACGAAAAAGGGGAATAGTGACTTAAATAAATTCAGCGATTAAAAATAAATAAATGCAATTGTTCGAGATTTGGATTTTTAGAAAATAAAGTGTGAATAAGCAATTAAATTAAAAGGCTCTTTCTAATTAATGATGAAAGAGAACATGGATTGAGTCCGGGGTAATCAGATTTCAAGGCTGATCAGACTTAATCCCATGAAAATTAATTAATCGAGCAACGCTGGTCAATACTAAGTTCTTACCGCTCCCGAGGTGTAGAGTACAATAATTTAGGAAATAAGGTTGACCTCTCATGCAACAAGTTACTAAATTATTGCCAAAACGAGCGAGTGCACGACCCCTCAATCGTGACTAATCTCTTAGCGAACGATTAAGTATGTGTGAAAGTGTCCTAGAATATCAATTAAATTATTCAAACACAAATTAAATAAAGAGCATGCAATTAATCCATCCAGAAATTAACCCTATGATCATGATTAACCCATTCATCAATCCCAAATCCATAATTAAAACTACTCACAATTCATAATTGAGCAATCAACAGAATTGGGATGAAAAGAATTAATTGTCATAATTAAAAAGAAGGAACTTACAAATAATCTCAGAGTCTTGAATAGCAAAGCGGAAAAGTACTCAAAATTTCGTTCTAAGCCTCTCTCTAAGCTCCGTAAGCGAAAATAGTGATTTACAGGCTGTATAAATAGAAAAAGGAGCAATTTTGGCCGAAAAAGGACACCTGGAACGCACGCACGGCACCCACACACGGTGTGCATGTTCCCGTGCGTATGGAGAAACCTGAGCGTGAAAATCCCCGTGCACGGCGTGCATGGCCTCCAACAGCTTCTCCATGATTTCTTCTTCCGCGCACGGCGTGCGTTCTTCGAGCACACTACGTGTGCCTTTCCCTTTCGAATTTGACTATGCTTCCTTCACCACAGTTATAGATAATGAAGTCTTCTATATATCACAACTTGCAAAACTAGAATTGGATCATCTAATCAAAATATATGAATACAATGGTGGAAGGTCACATCCTGAAAACCTCAACAACGATTATGTGACTTCCTCGTCTGTTTTCACCTTGATTCGCACACATTCTAGTCATGGTGTCTTCATATGATTTGTAGCACTTTAAGTTATCTTTCATATGAAACTTGATTCTTGTACTTTGGATGTCTCTAAGAAAAGATATGGTTGAATGATTGACAGAACATCATTCCGATCGCCGTTTTTAAGCTTTATTTGTTTCCCGTTTGATCTCGTACTTGATCCTTGAGCTCTCTTGACTTCAAAATCACTCATTTAATGAATCGCGTGGACCTTCAATGCTTCTAAATATATCTCAAATGTGTCTTGAGTCCTCCCGATTAATTCTCCAACGCCGGTGTCAGACTCAATTTCCTGATTTTAATTCTAAAAACTCCAAATGCAAACCAAACCCGATAAATTATGACTTGAGCCAATTATGAGCCTTGCGACACATTTAAGCTAGGAAAACTATCAGAAATCGATCTCAGCACCCATCAAACGCGTTTTAAAATACGGACTTATCAGGCAGTGATGGGGCAGGTGTTGTAACGGGGTAGGGGAACAGCAACTTTTGGTGCAGTGGTTGGGATTTGGGTTACGGATTAGGAAGGTAGCTAGGGTCGGGAAGGGCTTTAATTTGGTGTGGTGGTCACCGGATGGCTAAAATTTCATTGACGTTGTGGGCACTAAAAAAGTGGCCGAACAACTTTATGGCGGTCACAATGACATGTTTACCGGCGGCAGTGACATCCGCATTTGATCTGAAAGTCTAGCGGTGACATGAGAATCTGACAGTCACATCATGTTTTCGAATATATATGACCTTTTTTGTCACATATTTATCCATGAGTAAAATTTATCACTAGCTTCAATTTAGTCATGTTTAAGATAAGACGCTTAATTAATAATGACATTGTGAAATCATGTTGTTATATTATAGCATCAATTGCAGAATAAGATGAGAAATTAGTATGCGTAAATGCATAAGCTAGGCTTCTTTAAGTGCTTGGGACTCGACATTAAAGTTCTACTTAATTACAAACCATTTTAATTATGACAAAATTAGAACATAGCTTTAACAATTGGAAAGAAATCTCATTGAGTATAGGATAGTAAGTGAGATGGGTAAATTAGAAAGAAAAGAATAGCTTGTTAGAAATTCACACCACATGAACTTAAAAACTGGAGTAGTACATATGTACTCAATATTGGGATGAGAATTATACAACTCATTTTCCAAATTTAAATAGTTATTCCCTCTAGCTTTTATAGTGTTACTCAAAAAAAATAATTGGAGGAAGCTAAGCTCAAATAACGATTGTATAAATTTCAATAATAATTATAACAATAAAAGGAATCATAATAAACTGGTGAATTTTGTCACTAAACTTATTCAAACTTGATATCTATAGGTACTTATACTTCCATGAGAGGATTTTACAATCCTTGATCGGAGATCCTACATTCACCCTGCCATATTGGAACTGGGACAACCCACAAGGCATGTTCCTCCCGGAAATCTTCGATGACAAGGGCTCGCCATTGTACGACGAGGTTCGTGACCAAAAGCACCACAAGGATGTCATCGTTGACCTATCTTTCTCTGCCGGAGAAGAACTTAACACCACTGAACTCCAAATCTTGCGGAACAATCTCGCGATCATGTACCGCCAAATGGTGACCAACGCGCCGTGCCCGGCGCTCTTCTTCGGAAATGCTCTCCGAGGGGAGGGTTATGACACCAAGTCCGGTGCCGGAACCATAGAGAATGTTCCCCACAACACTTTGCACCGATGGGTCGGTGACCCCACGACGGCTCACAACGAGGATATGGGTAACTTCTATTCCGCATCCAAAGACCCGGTTTTCTATTCTCTTCATGGGAATGTGGACCGGCTGTGGTCTGTTTGGAAGAGTTTGGGTGGCAAGCGTCACGATATAACTGACCCAGATTGGCTACAGTCTGCATTCATATTCTATGATGAAAATAAAAACCTTGTCAGGGTCAAGGTTCAAGATTGCCTCGACCACAAGAAACTTGGCTACACTTTTCAGGTGCAGAACATCATAAATCTATTACCCCTTCTCGAATTAAATTGCAATTTGCGGATTTTAAATTTGACCGACGATGAAGTTAAAAACCCTTCTGAATAGTTTAATAAATTTTTTTATTAAAATTTTACATATTCAACAAGGACACTAAAAGTTCAATAAAGTCACAAAATTCAAATTAGAACATAATAAAAAATTGATATGCTAAAAAAGTATTCAAAGTGAAACTGTGCAGATCAAGAAAAGTTAACTTTATAACTTTATAAATCATTTTAGGATGGTTAGAGTATTTTTTAGGGATTTCACTTTTGTGTTTCATTTTATATTCTCAAAATATATACTGATAACGTACCAAAGTAATTCGGTAAGGTACGGTATCATACCAAAAGTGTCAGCATATCAAACATTACGATAAATTCGATATTTTAATTTACGGAATGGTAAGTGCAGTGTACCAAAATTATGTTATTTTTTACCATCCCTAGGCGTGGCTTGTGTTAGCATTGTCTTGGTTAACCCTCTTGGTGTGGACTATTTAGTAAATTATTTGGGCTTGAACATTTCTAGAAATTGTTTATCTAAATAACTCTAACTTAATTTGTAACATTCCACCTCGTAGGACTTGAGGTAATTGCTCTAAAATACTCTTCCATAGCTTTAGTACCATCCCCACAAATCTTCACAAGTCTTTAACGCGCACTTTGTGCTCATTCGTGAGTGCCCTGAGAAACTTCTCATGGGGGTCATCCATCCCAAAACTACTCTCGCGCATGCACGTCTAAGTTGGAGTTATTGGTAGATGAGCTCCCTTAAAAGGAGATGCACCTTGTTGGTATGAGTAGTAATATTAATCCTTTGAAATTAATCTCGAGTGTTACATAATTTGTCCATATTTGAAGCTCGTTTGATTTAACATGTCGGTATATATGTATGTATATGTATACATTACTTCGGAAAAATTGCAGTTTTAGATTTGTAACTTTCACCTATGCTCGTTATTAGTCCCGTAACTTTACTTGGTTGCAGATTTAGTCATGTAACTAATCAATCTTTCCAATTTAAAGACTTTTCCGTCAATAGGTACCATTTTCGACCGTAAATTCACTGGAAAAGATGTTACCAACGTCGAATTTTCTGGTGGAAAGTATATTTTTGGATGGAAAAGTCCTTAAATTGCAAAGATTTATTAGTTACGTGACCAAAAGTGTAATCAAATAAAGTAACATGACTAATATCAGGCACAATCAGAAGTGTTTATTTATAAGAATATGTGTATTTTAAATATATGTGATGTGTTATAACCTAATTAAGGCTATTAAGATTTAAATGTACAAAAATTCATAAGCTATAAAACTAGTGTGTTATCAATTGTTGCACGGATACGGATACGCTGATACACAGGTACGTGAATACGAGTACGACGATACGTCAAATTCAAAAATTATAGGATATGGGTATGAAGGTATATTTATAAATAATAATAATATATATAGGGTATAATTTGCAAATATATATAGTTCAGAGGTTCATAAATGAAATAATAATAGTACCAAAATTTAACAATTATAATAAAATTTCAAAGATTAGACTAAAAAACTAGAGTACTAATATTTTGATTCGAAAATTTGCGAATTTCCTCCCGTAACTTTCGGCCATTTTTGTTATTAGTCTCGCAACTTTAGTCATTTGCAAATTTGGTCTCGTAACTAATTAATATTTGCGATTTAAGGACTTTCTCCCGGAAAAGTACACTTTCTGGCGATAGTATACCGGAAAAGATGTCACCAGCGTCAGATTTTTCTGCCAGATGGTTTACTTTCTGGTGGAAAAGTCCTTAAATTGCACAACTTTATTAGTTATATAGGACCAAATTTGCAACTGGTTAAAGTTACAGGACAAGGATAACACCCGAAAGTTACAGGACTAAAATTTCAAATCTCCCTATTTTTGATTTAAATTCAATTAAAACTTATCAAACGACAAATTGACAAATTATAGTATTCCAATATTTTTCATACCCTCGAAATCATTTTTACCAATGTTCCACATCTTGTGGTCGCTTGGATGACTACTAAATTTTCATTATGTCATGCATGAAATCAGGGTAATAGGGTTAGATACGCGTATCGGTTCACAGATACGGGTATCAAAAGTACTTATATTTTTAAAAATAAGTTTGTTACTTTTATTAAATTACGGATACGGACTCAATACATACAGGACGCGTATCGGTGAGTATCAGTATTGAATACGTATCGAATACACATATAGAATATCAAGGTGAAGTATCGGTACGGTGCACCATAGGTTATCATCAAGATGTTTAATTGAAAGATATTTGTGTAAAACTTTATTTGTCGAAAGGATTTGTCAACTTTGTAAGTAATTTTTTGGGCGGTGATTAGAATATTAGATTATATTGCTTCATATCAGGCCAGGTCACCAAAGCGTGTTAGGTTCAGGCCAAATTAAATTAAGACTGAGACTCAGTTGAAAGATAATAAAAAATTAAATTAAGACTGAGACTCAGTTGAAAGATAATAAAATTCTGTTGAAATTTATGAAATTCTCGATGAAATGACTAGATTAGCTGATTCTCCTGAATTATGAAAAGTTATATTTAAAATATTTTTATTAATATGATAAACAAAAATTCATATGAAAAAATGGTTAAAATGATCATCTACCCAATACAGCCAGAAAAGTAACTTCGACCTTATTTTTTCTTTTTATTACACAATTCAATGTGTAAAATCAAAGTTACATGCTTGGTGCAAAAGTTGACTGATAAGTTTAATAAGCCAAAAAACATGATCACCAAACGAGTTCTTATTTAGAAGAAAGGCTGATATACCATGTTCTCAACCCTACTCATAATCATATCAAATGTTATATATTCACGAATTGAAAACTTTGAATATATTATCTAAAGCACGTCAAGCTATATTTTGACATCCATTTGTAGATTAGTTATTTGAAAAATATATTTTGTCTGTGAAAAGTTTATTCAAAAACAAAAAAAAATAGCTTGTTATACACATGTATATGAGGTGTATAAAAAATGTGTATGTACAAGAATCATGGTTCTAGTTTAATTTTTATTAGAAATTGCTCTAAGTAGGACTAAAACTTAGAAAAAATACACAAAGAAGACTACATGTATTTTATTTTTGGAATATGACGTATTTGATCCTATTAAAAGTATAAGATTTCCCTGATCAGAAGTGAATAAGTCCTGTTTTCGAAAGTAAACAGTTGGAGTTCATATGTGCACTTTTTTATGTTTTAGTCCTACATAAAAGATTCTCACTTTTTTTATACATGGTCAGTTTTCTTGTCACATGTTACATTATACACATATTGTTTAAAATGACTAGCTTGCATTATACACAATATATTATGATGAACTCAATTTTTTAACTTGTACAAGCTAGGATATGCCCACCCCATGGATGAGCTACAAACCAACATCAAAAAAGAAGACACAGTTGAGCAGCACCAAAACATCTATCCCTTGGGGCACTAATATCTTGCCAAAAACGTTACAACAAACCATAACGTTGTATGTCATGAGGCCCGAGACATCAAGATCAAAGCAAGAGAAAGCAGATATGGAGGAGTTATTGAATATGAGCTTAACATATGATGAAACCAAGTACATTAGGTTTGACGTGTTTCTGAACGAAGACAATCTCTTAAAGGCGTCCGTGTTGGATCGGGCAGAATACCTGGGAAGTTTTGCCAACTTGGCTCACATTCATGAGAGTTCTAATGAAAATCAATCGAAGACGACGACATTCAGCCTGGCAATAACTGAACTACTTGAAGACTTGGGGCTTGAAAGTGATACAAATGTTGCAGTTACGATGGTACCAAAGTATAATGGCGAGTTCATGACTATCAACAGTGTCGATGTCTCATTGTTATCTTGTTAAGGGCTTGCTTTTGAGTCTCACTGAGATCATATAAAGTTTGTTTCTTAAATTCTATTTTGTTCAAGAATGGACTAAACAATCTCTTTAATTTGATACTCCCTCCGTCCGCCAAACTTTGTCTCGTTTTACCTTTTTAATCTGCTCTGTCCCATTAAGTTTGTTCCTTACCATATTTGATAATATTTGGGTGGTTACAATTCATTCTTACTTTGTTCTCACATTATCAATTCGATATCAATCACACAATTCCACTTTTTCTTAAAACTTGTGCCACACCCTCTTGACCCAAACATAGTGGGACGGAGGTAGTAATTTATTTAAAGAGTTCATAAAGTACCCTACAATTGGGTGTGTTTGGACTTAGGGGTATGTGGTTTGGTTTGAGACAAACTTGAGTTTGTGGAATTACGCCCTTTGCAACGGGAGCCAGAATTACGTAAAAATAGCCTCAAGTGTAGCTCATGTCGCGCATATTTTCCAATTTTTGCATAAATGTGATTAGTAATGTTGTGTTTGGGTGGATAAAAAACATATACACAATGGCAGAACCAGAGGATTATTTGAGGGGGTGCTGTATATAGTGCGGTTAAAAAATTATTCTCATTAGCGGTGCAAATGGTTGCACTTTTAATTTTTTTCCACCACTTTTTACCTAATTAATTGATATATTGGTATATTCAGAGTCATCTGATCTGAAATCTAATATAGAATAATTAATTTTATTTTTCATGAAGTGACTCTTTATATACATATACATGAGATCAACATAGATATAGACGTTTATTCAATTTTATACTTAACCTTTATGCCTTTGTAAACAAAATAATATACTTCTTTTATCAAGTGACTTTTTCCAATTTAATAAGCTTATCATGTTATAAAATATTCAGGACTTATATAGCAACATCGCTAAATATTACATAAATGTTTTATCATAATAATAGAGTTATTTTTGTCAAAAAATGGTATTTGTTCTCACAAAAAATTGGTATTTCTTTTTACTTATGTGAATGTATTACATAAATTTAGTCATGCTCATATATAACTAGATATTTCAAGCATTAACAAGAAACTTCAGAATACTTGTACCAACCAGCAAAAATAAATAGTTGTGTTAAAATTCTAGTCAATTTGATAAAATGCGAAAGAAATGATATAGGTCAATATTTAAAGAAGGTAGAAATAGGTATGTTACGATTAAGGTTAAGTAAAACGATAAATTAAAGAGCTAGAACACAAGAATTTACGTGGTTTACACAATCGGGGTGATTGTGCTAGCCCATGGCGAACGAGAGAGAGAGCAGTGTATTATTATGTCGGCGTCTGGGTTTACAAGTACATAAGAGTCGCTTAAATAGGTTTAAGAAAACCTAAACGGTAATCAGAGCCGCGGGCCCAAAAACTAAGCCCGTATTAATATTTTCCCGCATACCCGGTCGGTACCCTACTGTACCCGGTCGGGTATATGTTCCAGAAAACCTTTCTCCACGCTACCCGGTCTTGTAGCCAGGCGGGTATCTCCTTCTGGTCCAAACTGTCAACATACCCGGTCGGGTAAAACACCTTACCCGGTCAGGTATCACTTCTAGAAAGTTGCCCGGCCAAATTCATCTTCATACCCGATCGGGTAACCCAATGTACCGAGTCGGATAACTGCTCTACCATTCAGAATAAGGCTCCATCTTCAACAATCTCCCACTTGGAGGCTTGTTCAACAATCATGTGCCATCCAAAAACATGTATCCTCTATAAAACCCCTGATCTCTCTCTCTCTCGTTCATGCCTTCTCATCAAGTGTGTGGAAGGCCAGTTGAAGCCATGCATAGCTTCAACTTCTCCATTGTCACTGTCTCGGTAAGCATGTCTGTTGGATTTTTCGTACCAAGGATCTTCTTCAAATTTATGGTACCATCTTCAATCAACTCTGGGATGAAATGGTATCGCATCTTGATGTGTTTCGTTCTGCTGTGAAACACCGGATTCTTCGCGAGAGGAATAGCACTCTGGTTGTCACAATATAGAACGCAATCTCCCCTCTTCATGCCCAATTCCGAAAAAAAGTTCTTCAACCAAATCAACTCCTTGGCCACTTCAGCAAGGGTCATATACTCTGCTTCTGTGGTTGAAAGAGCCACGCTCTTCTGTAGTTTGGACATCCAACTGATCGTCGTACCTCCAATAGTGAACACATACCACGTAGTGCTCTTCCCGGAATCATAACAGCCCCCCAAATCGACATCGGCAAATCCTTCTAGGATTACACCATTCCTCCTGAAACAAAGGGCAGTTTCAGAAGTGTCTTTCAAGTAGCGCAACAGCCACTTGACTCCTTCCCAATGTTCCTTCCCGGATTTGACATGAACCTGCTAACAACTCCCACTGCATGAGCAATGTTTGGCCTTGTTGACACCATAGCATACATCAAACTACCAACTGCTGATGCATAAGGAACTTTAGCCATTTCTTCCTTGTCTTCATCACTCTTAGGAGACTGCTACTTGGAGAGCTTTAAATGACTCCCTAACGGTGTACTCCTTGGTTTGGCATCCGTCATTCTGAACTTCTCAAGGACCTTCTAAATGTAATTCTGCTGTGAAAGCTGTAAAGTACCTTCCACCCTGTCTCTGACTATGCTCATCCCAAAAATTTGTCTCGCTTCCCCTAAATCCTTCATCTCAAACACTTCAGACAACTTCTTCTTTAGCTTGTTGATCTCCTGCCTGTTTGATCCAGCCACCAACATGTCATCAACATACAAAAGAAGAATAATGTATGATGACTTGAATTTCTTCAAGTAACAGCAATGGTTCATCTTGCATCTAGTGTACCCATTCCACTGCATGAAACTGTCACACTTCAAGTACCACTATCTAGGAGCTTGCTTTAGTCCGTACAGACTTTTCTTGAGTTTGCACATCAACTTCTCCTTAACACTCACTGGGAAACCTACTAGTTGAGCCATGTAAATGTCTTCTTCAAGGTTGCCATGAAGAAAGGCAGTCTTCACATATTCCAGCTGCTCCAAATGCAAATTATCAGCAGCAACGATACCAAGGATCAACCTGATAGTAGTCATCTTCACAACCGGAGAAAAGATTTCATTGTAATCAACCCCCTTCTTATGTTGGAACCCTTTGACCACTAGCCTGACCTTGTATCTTTTGCTCCCATCTGCTTCATCTTTGATTCTGAACAACTACTTGTTCTCCAAAGTTTTCTTTACCGGTGGTAGATTGACTAAGGACCAAGTTTGGTTCTTGTCAAGTGAATCTAACTCATCCTCCATGGCCTTCTTCCACTGCATGGAATCTTTCACCGTCAACGCCTCTGAGTAAGATTCTGGCTCTCCATTCTCGGTCAGCAACAGGTAATTTGCTGAAGGAGAATATCTGTTAAGAGGTCTTCTATTTCTAATGGACTGTCTAATGTGTGGAGTAGCTGCCTCTGAACTCCCACTATCTTCATCACTCCCACTATCTTCAGAAATTCATGTATCTCCTGAGCTCCCACTGCTCCCTGAGCCTCCAGCCGTCTCATCACAACCAACAAGTTGTGCTATGTCATCTTCAGTCATCCCGTCAAACACCACTTGTTGTTTGTTTTCTGGTTGCTTGCCTTTGCTTGTATCTGCTGTAAAACCATCTTTATACAGGGCATTCTCGTTGAAGATGACATCTCTACTTCTGATAACCTTCTTGTTGTGGTTGTCCCATAACCTGTAGCCCTTGTCATCCAACATGTACCCAATAAAAAAAATCTTTGCCTTTGCCTCGAGCTTGTCACTATTTGCATCTTTAACTTTGACATAAGAAATACAACCAAAAACTTTCAAGTGAGTAAGAGATACCTCTCGACCTTTCCATTCCTCTTCTGGAATTGTGAAACCTATCGGAGATGAGGGTCCTCTGTTGATCAAGTACACTGTTGTGTTCACCGCATCGGCCCAGAACATCTTTGGAAGTCCTGCTTGCAATCTCACGCTCTTGGCCCTCTCATTCAGTGTTCTGTTCATCCTCTTTGCACCACCATTTTGTTGTGGTGTTTCTGGAACTATTTTCAGCATCCTGATACCCTGTTCAGCACAATACTCTACAAACTCTGTGCTATTGTACTCACCTCCATTATCACTCTTTAAACACTTAATCTTAAGATTTGTTTCATTCTCAACTGCAGCTTTGAACTTCTTAAAAGTGTTAAAGACATCAGATTTATTTTTAAGAAAATAAACACATACCTTCCGTGTAGAGTCATCAATGAATGTAACATAGTAGCGGGAACCTCCAATTGAAGAGACCTTTATAGGTCCGTAGACATCTGAATGAATAAGCTCCAGCCTCTCAGTCTTGGGTTGTTGTCCTGTATTCACGAAGGTTACCTTCTTTTGTTTGCCAAGAACACATGGCTCACAAAAGCTCAACTTTGAATTCTTCAAATCTGGGATTTTGCCCTTTGAAGACAGGACCTTCATTCCGTTCTCACTTATGTGCCCAAGTCTTTGGTACCACAAAGTAGAGACCCCTGCATCTTCAACGGCTGCATTAGCTCCATCTGCGGACACTTCAACCATGTACAGTGTACCATGCTTCTGTCCACGAGCAATGACCAGCTATCCCTTTGTCACCTTACATTGCTTGTTGCCAAAACTAACGTTATGGCCCTCCTCATCAAGTTGTCCTACTGAGATCAACATCTTCTTAGGGTCTGGAATATACCTTACATCTTTCAACTTCCAGGTTGTTCCCAAAGTGGTACTCAGGACAACTTCCCCATTACCTGTGATCTCCAGAGATTTGTCATCCGCCAAACGAACTCTTCCGCTGTAGGGCCTGAAATTTTGCATAAAATCCCTGCAATGACAAGCATGAAACGACGCACCTAAATCCATGATCCCGGACTCAATTGAATTCTCAACGCTGAAAATTAGAACATCTTCATAATTCTCTGCCATGTTCACCTCCTTCTTGCCTTTGTCTGCAGAGGCTTTTGGGCACTGATTTCTGTAGTGTCCATTCTCCTTGCAATTCCAACAATTGATGTCCTTCCTGTTCTTGGATTAACCTCTCTTCCTCGACTTTGACCTCCCTTTCTTGTTACCCCCCTTTTGTGGATTTTCTGCCCTTATCTTCAGTACTCAACAAACTGTTGGAGCTATCCCCCGAACTCCTTTTCCGGATATCCTCACCAAGGATAAAGTCACGAATACCTTCAAAGGTAAGCTT